TATAGAGAATAGTTATTATAGAAAAGTCTGACTGTATAGCAGATTCCAAGGTTGGTATAGAGGGGGAAGGTTACGGTAGGGTAACGAGTATAGCAAAATAATCTAATTATGAAGAATCCTATAAGGTACGAATTAATATAGCCGACTCCAACTATCGTGGGATTCAGAATAGTTGATTGATAGATGTTGGGTCTCGATAATCCGGCTTTTGATTTTTACAGAAATGGTGCATTTTGTTCCTAATAGAGTTGCAATACAGACATCCATTTTTATTTCTTCTGTTTATATCTTAAAATTGAATGCTCAGTTTATGTTCCACATAGGAATAGTGCTGCCAAGTTCAGAGTTTAGATTGCATTGAAGTTAGTTAATGTTGTAATTAGCAAGATCAAGATTCAGCCTTGTGACAATTTTTGTATCTACTGTTTTGTTTCTCAATGTTTTTTGAGTGAGAGGCTTTTCAGTTAAATTCTTATAATCTTGGTTGAAAAGTTGGAAGTTTTTTTTCCTTTCAGGAGGCATCAGCTATGTCGAGGAGTGCTATAACAGAGGCTTTGAAAGTGCTAACAGGTATCAATCTCTAGCATTTTCTCTATATCATGTATTTTAGGCCTATATTCTAGTATATAAATGGTGGCATTCTTTTCTTTTTGTCTTTAGATGTCAGAAACCATCCAGTTCTTATCCACTGCAAGCGCGGAAAGGTGCGTTAAGTTCGTTCTTTTTAACTTGGGCAGCTCTAAGATGAGCATTTTTTCTGCAGTTGTTGGTTTTGTAGCCTATGCTTACCTGTCCATTTTGTTCTATTTGCGCCTGAATGCTAAGGAAATTTATGGTTTGCAAATGCAATCCTCAAATTGTGCTGCACAATAATGAACTTATATCCAGTACGCACGTGTTCATTTATCTCTCTCTCTCTCTCTCTCGAGTTTCATTTGAATTTGTACTGTTTCATTGTCTGCATTGCTTACAAAACTGACCTTTCTGTTCTGCTGGAGCTTGAAACATTTGATTTCTCTTGGTAGTCTGGATTGCTTGGCTTTCAGTAGTAGTAAACATATGCTTTCCTTGTTGTAGAGTCTATAGATGGACCATGGACTCTGATTGGATGTTTAAAATTGAGTCTTATTTGTATTTCCTTTCGAATACTGATGAACTGAATGCTTTCTTTACTTCATCCTCCTTAGAGGCTGATGCTTATTATCAATGTGTCCGACTGAATTCAATATTTTCGACAGGAAACATATATGTGCATGTCTGTGAAAAAACCACTAAAGTTTCGACAGATGTTAGATGTTGAACCCATTATTTCAAAAATACAATGTGCTCAGTGTAAAAAAAAGGGCAGCCTTTGACCCTCGCGGGGTTTTGACATTGCTGCTTCAATTTCCAATTCCCGTGCTATGGTTATAACACATACTTCATTTACTCCTGCAGCATCGCACTGGCTGCATTGTCGGCTGCCTCAGGAAATGGCAGAGTTGGTGTTTGTCTTCTGTGATGGAGGAGTACAAGCATTTTGCAGGCACAAAGTGGAGAGAATCAGACCTAAAATTTCTTGAGACTTACGATTGTTCATGCATAAGGCATTGCCTCGAGAGCATAATCTACACGTGCTATGGTTCAACGAAAAGGCGCTTGCTATATAGAGAAGAAATTCTGCAGAAACCTCTGATGACTTCTGTTCTATAGAGGGATTATCCATCCCAACTTTTTGAAGGGATTGGATATTCTTTTGTTCATTCAATTATAAGAATCCATTCCGCGTGTCATCGAAGTGAAAAGTTCTGTTAGGTTCTCAGTAGCAGTTGACAACTGTTACCTTTTTTACTTCACCAATTAGTCGTTGTAGCCTTAAGCTTCTTTGGTGTTTTTATAAACTACTTCAGATCCATCTATACTCTACTTCTCAAATGCCTTAATTCACTACCTATTCTTCCTTCTATTTTTTCTGCACAAGAAAAAAACTTTATCACTTTATCAACTTCTTTTTCTCTTCTTTAATACCCTGAAAAGTTATCAACTAGTTGGTCAAGTTTGGTGATCCAACAGAAAAGAATCACAATGAAAAAAGAAACTCCATTCAAATGGCTGAAAAACTGAATCTTTAGGAGTTTCTTCTTGTGACCTAACATCACTTGATACAACATTACTTTAAAAGTGCAAATACTATTGTGCAAAGACCCTGAAAACTTTGGATGGCAAAGTAAAAATTCTTGGATATAGTCACTAATTCAAGAACCAGTTCTCAAACTCACTTCGCTAGGACTTCTCTAAACCTAGTTTAAAATGGATGCCCCCTGAAACTACAAGAGAACTATCTCTTGAGTCCAACATATTGGGCCAATGAATTGGAACCAGATCAGTAAATCATAAGTAGATGTCTTTTTCAGGTCTTAATCTCGCAAATGTACATCAGTCTGTATAGTATTTCAAATTGACACATCCTATGATGCAACTAGTAGATAAAATATAAAGACTTAGACAACAAAAGCAACACTTTAATAGGAGCTAAACCTGCAACGCTGAATTGATATATGATGCTTGGCCCAAGCCCAAATGACCCGCCAATTTATTGAAATCAACCCATCTTGACCCAACCCATCTCAACTCATTTAAAATTGAGTTAATTTTTAGCCCAAATTGATCCACGAGTAACTTTGCCAAAATATCTTAAAAATAAATTTATTTTTTTGTTTGATATGTTATATATGACTATGACAAAAGAATAAAAGTCTTATTTAGTAATTATACAATTCACAAAAAAATAACATATATTAACTAAAGATTGATAAGAGTTGGGGGGTTGGGCTATGACCCAAATTTTAGTCCATCTTGACCCAACACATCTTACCCCAAGTAACGTTTGGGCGGGTCAAATGACCCGTCCAATTATTGATTTAACCCATTTTGACCTGCCCAAAATTGACCCACCCGCCCATTTGACACCCCTATATGATGCCATGCTGGGCGCGCAGATTTTCAGTATAGCCTTAAGTCCATGACCATTCTTTCTTTCTGCCAATGTGTGAGCTGTTGCTTTCCCAGCCTTAATGCTTTGCATGTTAACTTCAGTTGGTTGCCAATATCTGGAGTTTGAACTAACTGGACATTACATATGCATTTAGTTTGTCTCTGTAATACGCAGGGGCGGATTTAGGGGGCTTCGTGGAAAAATAAGGCAAAATTCGGTTTACACCTCTATATTTTATATTTTGAATCCCCTTAACATAGTCCAAAAGCATAGTTTATTGGTCAAAAGGGTTCAAAATCTCTTGTAAGGTTGCAAGTTCAATTCCAGTAACAATCTCTTTTAATTTTTTAACTTTTTCTTTTGCTTGAACCCCCTTAGTGAAAATTCTGTCTCCGCTACTGGAATTGGTTTTCTTTAATGAGTCGAGATGCCATGTCTTTAGCTTATGCTTTGCGCTATTTGTCTTACTGTCACGGAGAAGGCTACCGCATCAAGGTAGCTTTTTTACCTACAGCATCATTAGTATACTTGCTAATATTGTTTTGTTGGAGGAAACTAGTTCATACGCGTATGTGTTAAAATCTAGGATGAAGTCATCTTTAATGCATTCATCTAAAGATACTGCTATATTAACATTTATTGGCAGATTGCAACAGATTATACCTCCACCCCTAATGGAAGGATATGGATATGAGAAACCACAACATGTGGTGATCAATGTCCTGATCTCAGAGCTTCAGTTGGTTCATCGCTATGTTCAAGATAGAGGATCACAGTTTGCTTGTCATGCTACCTTTGTTTATGGTTACAATACTCGATCTATTTGGGGACTTACTCATATCTTTGAAGGGGAGCCTTGACGTAGTTGGTAAAGTTGTTGTCATGTGAGCAGTACGTCACGGGTTCGAGCCGTGGAAACAGCCTCTTGCAGGATAAGGCTGCGTACAATAGACCCTTATGGTCCGACCCTTTCTCAGACCACACGCATAGCAACTATCCCTAAATAGTTGGGGACATTCAATCACTCCCAAGACCTTTCAGATTACAAACTGTCCTACTGCAGCAAGAGTCCTTTAAGGACACCATTCAATCTATTTAGGGACTTAGTATACCTGGCCACACTATGTATGGAATCTGCAGGAAGTTGAGACATCTCGAGCTTGCTGCAAAACAGATGACCAAAAAATGTCCAAGTTGGAACATAAAATTTGGGAATTGCAGACAAAGCTCAAACTTACACAGGATCAGGAAATGGAAGCTGAATTATATAATTCTCACCTGATCAAGGAGGAGAAAGAATTACTATTGAGCTTATAGAATTGGTCTAACATTCATGAAAGGTTACTCGGACAGAAATCTAGAGCTGTGTGGATTTCTCATGAGGACTCTAATTCTAAATTTTTCTATGCTCAACCCAAAGTCAGACAAGCTAGGAATTATAATGTCGCGGCTTCTCTCTCCACAAATAGAAAAATATAAATCCATTTGCCACAGCCTTCCTTCAACAATCACTCCGACTCAACAATGGGACCGAGAGTTTGATAGAGGCACGTGAAGAGAATAGGCTTATAGAGTCTGAGCCATATTATAGTCAAGTGAGATTATAAAAAGGGGTTATTTCTTTCGAGTATTATAGTGGTCTTTGGAGTATTTTACTCAGCCATTAGCAAACTGTCCAACATTGAAGTTCTGAAATTAGAAGGAAATGCCTTCAAAGGGAGACGACGGGACGTTAAGGATGGGGAGTTTCCTATCCTTAAAGTTTTGAAATTAAAGAATCTAGGATTCTCAGAATGGTCTGCCTCAGATGAATTGTATCCCAGCCTTCAGCAAGTGCGGGTGCAGAGTTGTTAAAGAATACCCTTACTCTTTTGGGAGCAGTTGCTCAATGAAACTGATTGAGGTAAGATCTTGCCATTTATCTGTTGCACTTACTAACAAGGAATCAAAGGATTGTATTTCACTGATGCAATTGGAAGGAAATGAGACGAATTATGAATGTGGTAAAATGAAGGAACTTAGGATATTGAAAAGAAAACTAGTAAAATCAAATACATAATTTAAAGACAAATTGGAAGTTATTCATTGTCTGATAAGAAACACTCTTCTATTATAGGATGCATGGCCTTACATACCATGTGTAGCATTTCATTTACATATATTTAATTAAAAAATATGACAAAGAAACCTAATTAAACAATCCTTCTGATGATTTTACTTACTAATAATAACCTTGAATTCAGAATTCCCCATCTCCTCAATTTGTGTTTCTTTAATTTTGAGGGCAGCATTTACCGCAGAGTCACAACATGATCTTACCTCAATAAGTTGCATTGAGCAACTACTCCCAAAACTATAAGGAATTTCCTCTAGTTTCCAACACCCGTGCACCAGTACTTTCTGTAGGTTGGGATACGAGTCATCAGAGGCTGTCCATTCCAAGAGTCCTAGTTTCTTTAATTTCAAAACTTTAAGGTTAGAAAACTCCCCGTCCTTAACGTCCCACTGTCTCCCTTTGAAACCACTTCCTTCTAATTTAAGAAATTCAAGGTTGGACAAACGGCCAATGTAGGACATTTTACTCCAAGGGAGCTCAAGATATGCCAAAGTTAATTTCTTGAGGCTTGACGGGTATGTAAAGTCTTCAAAACCATAGGGATATGTCAATATCCTAGTGACATCAATCTTGAGAGATTTGAGTTGACCAAGAGACCCGAAAGCGGGAAAGTATTTGTAAAAACGGGTTCCTGAACCACATAATCGACAACTGAGCTTTTCAAGATTGGGTAATCTTTTCATAAGATTTTGGTAATACACCCCAGCATCAATAACCAGATTCGAACATGTTTTTAAGTTGTCAAGATCCTCTAATATTTGAGAGGTATATAGAGTACTTATATGCAAATGCCTTAAGCTTGTCATACCCCAAATGGAATTTGGAATGCAGGATTTATGATAGACTCCGGTCGCTATAAATGTCTCTAGCTCCTTCAGGTTGCATATTGTATATGGAATGTAATCAGAAGGCAACTGCAGCTCCAAATACTTCAAATGAATCAGATATCTCAATGCATCTACATGAGTCTTATGCAGCTTTACGGAACTCAAATCTAATACTCTCAGGTTTTCCCAAGATTTAGCCAAGTCTAAATCAACCCAAGGAGATTTTACACTGGGAAGGAATCGTAAGGTGTTGATATTTCGTCCAGTAGGTGCTAAGATATATATGCGTCCAGAGCGACCTTTGGAAGATGGAAGTATATAAACACTGGTTCAAGAAGGAGATACATAATTAAATTGATATCTAATACTAAACAACAAAAAGCTAGATACATAATTAAATTGATTTCACTTACAGCTGATCATTTATCCTCAGCAAAAAGTTGCCCACTTTAGCTTTCCTCAAGCTAAATTCGTGTATTACATCATGAATATAGACGGCTTTGAGCTCCCCTGAGGAATTTATATTAGCCACCATCACTAGGTTGCTCCTAATTAAATCCATCAAATAATCCATTGCAACCATCTCTAAGCTCTTCAATCTAGTACTACTACTGGCTTCAACAAAATTTTCTGCAATCCATAGTCGTATCAATTTTTGAACAGGAACTTTTTCACCCTCTAGAAATGAAGCAAAGTAGAGAAAACAATTTTGCAAATGAAGGGGTAAGTGTTGATAACTCGATTCAACTATATCCATACAACCTTGCATTTTTGACTTCAAACGTTCCCCTACTTGTTGCCAATGAACTACTTCCTTATCATTTTTTGCAAGAACACCAGCTACCAATACAATTGCAAGAGGTAATCCTCCACACTTAGTCGCTATTTGCTTACCTATATCCTCGAGTTGTTGAGGATAATAATTATCTTCTTTGAATACTTTCTCCTTCATTAGCATCCAACTTTCTTCTTCTGTGAACAAGCGAAGGTGATGAGGACTCGAATTGATCATTGCATACGTGGCGATTGATTCAAGTCTAGTTGTCAAAATAATCCTACTTCCTTTATCATCATCTGGAAATGGTCTCTTTATATCATCCCATGCATTAGGACTCCAAACGTCATCCACTACAATAAGATACCTCTTTCCTTTCAAATATCTATAAAGCTTCTCAGCTAACTCATTATCATTTTTTTCTTTAGTAATATCATCAAGCTCGCAAATATGACCCAATAATTCAAACAAGAGAGCTCTATTATCATAAGATTGGGAAGAACAACACCACAAGCGAATATCGAAGCGATTGGAAATTGCTTCATGATCATACAATTTCTTAGCCAATGTTGTTTTTCCTAGTCCTGGCATTCCAAATATTGAGATCACATCTAATTGCCGATGTCCTCTCACAAGTTGCTCTATAAGCATTTCAGTCTCTTCATTAAAACCAACCATCACGTCCGTTGCTTTGATGAAGTTGATGTGCTTTCTGATGGTAACAAAATGGAAGGTAGAATGAAAATGAGCTCCAATTTGTTTCTTGTTTTTTTTTTTGTTTTGAAAAGTCTTAACACTTTTGCCCGGAAACTAGAAGGAAAAGCATGGGTTGGTAAGAAGAAAGTAAAGATAAGTCACGAGTGAGATACTCAATACATACTGTCCGACCTTTCAACATTGTGTTGAAATGCCACATTGTCTTCTATTTGCCAATTTTTATTTTTATTTTATAATTTAATACCAAAGTGAAATTTTGATTGAACTAAAAAGACAAACTTATCAAATTTCGTTGTATTTTCTCAACAAATGTCTTTCTCAACCATCTCATTGGGGAACGAGCCAGTGATGGGCCATAATTTAAACCACATCTATCTATATTAAAAGTCGGAAGCATTTAAGTTAAATTATAAACTTGCCATTTTAAATAATTAATTTAATTTTCAACTTGACATTAATTAATTGGTGTCGATTAGTTTATAATTGATATAACCCACATAGCTAAACAAAGTGACGCTTCAAAGGCCAAACTTTAAAAGCCACCGCTCGGATAATTGGCTTCTTGTGTAAGGTTCCTATTTCAAATAAATACATAAAAGACGACAAATGAATTGCTTTTGAAGGCGACTCGCGTATTGTTTATGGAACAATAATTCTCTTTTATGGTCGAAGATTTGGCTATGGTATTTTATATTAACATGTACACAAACTTAAGTTATTGATGGCTTTCATTGTTTAAAGAAGCAAATCATCGCAAAGATATTAAAATAATATTCTAAAAGGAGCAAAGAGGTTTTCATGAATGTTTATCATATTATGCCGAGGCAATAGTGACGTGAGGCAATGGGATTTTCAAGGTGTCATCAATTGTAACATAGAGAATTTTGAAGGTGAGATGCATTTAAAAAGTTTTTTTCTGCTTCATGAAAGAAAAAAGAGTTACTAATTCGTTTAATTATCAATAATATTTTAGATATTGCTTAAGACTTGATATTTGTGATATGGAGAATGATGAATCCATTTAATACTTTTTGATGTTGCAAAATATTTAGTACTGGATTACAATATCAAAGAGCATATTCAATAAGATAGAACATTATTTATTTAAAATTTAGTATATTAATAGTTTCAAATTACTTTAATCAAAGGAAGACAAATTGATCAATAAATTTCTTTTAAAATATAAGAATATTTTTAGAGACGTCCACTCAAATTTGACTTAATTTATAACCCTAATCTTTCCTGTGATTTACGATATTATATATTTTTTTCTTTTTTAGTTTCTTTGTAATAATTTTTTAACCTAATTTTCATAAATTATAAAGATTATGATATTAAAACATCTTTTTCTGAAACTTTAAATTTGAAAAAGACACAATCAGTAACAACACAAGAATCAGGATAATAATGGGTTTATGGCAACTGAAATAAGCAAAAGAATCTTTTTGTTGAAGAATGAAGGTGAACGCACATAAGTGGAATATTGGTTCTGAAAAACATAAACAATAGCACTTCAATAGTGGATTGAAGCTGGTGAAAGGTGATAGATACTTCGTGGAATTAATCAATATGCGTGTAAGCTGGTTCAGACACCACAACAGCTATTAAAACAACAGTGGTCAACTCTAGCAAATACGATAGCGAACCAATTATAACTGGTAAACAGAGTTGCCTGGATAATACATAAATAAGAAATAGACCGGATGAGGCTTGAATTGCCTCATGCTGGCCGGAGATAACATTGCCAGAAAACATAAAAGCCACAACGATGAAGGCAGTGACGTGTCAAGACCCGAAATTTCTCACCTTCAGGATCGTGATGGTGCCTAACATTTCATTTGCTAGGTAAGCCAACGCTAAAATAATCTTAATTATTTTTAAGCAAATTTAATTAAATAGAAGTCAAATTACTGAAATAAAGTGCGGAAGATCATAAATACCGAATTATCAAAATACATCCCCGAATCTGGTATCACAAGTGCACGAGCTACTAGGATAATACAAATAAAGGTCTGAATAAAATTCAAGCTGTTTGAAAGATAATACACAGCTAAGATAAGATAGAAGGGGACTTCAGAACTGCGGACGCTGTGCAGTTATACCTCAAGTCTCCTCTGGGTAGTTGAATCCGAGCAAGTCTATGGTACGCCACTGGGCCCAGCTCCAAAATCTACAGAAGAAGTGCAGAGTGTAGTATGAGTATATCCGACCCCATGTACTCCTTAAGTGTCAAGCCTAACCTCGACAAATTAGTGACGAGACTATGACAGGACACGTACGTAAACAACCTGCACAAGTATATACAAATACGAAGCAATAATAAAACAATAAATAACACTTTATAAATTTGGGAGGGAACATGCGAAGGGGATTGATATAATAATTTCAGCAGGAGAATTATCACTTGGCAGCCAAATAATTCTTCAACAATAAAATGAGCACCCTTCGTGCTTTTACTCTCATTTGGCACGGCATCACCCTTCGTGCTTTTACACTCTCTGAAAATGACACGGCATCACCCTTCGTATTTTTACTCTCATTTGGCACGGCATCACCCTTTCGTACTTTTACACTCTCTGAAAATGATACGGCATCACCCTTCGTGCTTTTACACTCACAAATGGCAC